CTCTTTAAGGCTCTGAATTACTTTTACTACTCCACTTCGTACCATTTTATCATTTGTGTGCCTATAGAAGACTGTTGGATAGCGGTTTCCATTCATTCTCTCTCTTTGCTTCTCTTATTTGTCTTTTCAGCCTGCCCAGAACTTAGCATGTTTAGCCTGGTTTTTAATTGTATTTTATACCTAACACCTTTCATAAGTACATGCTGTCTTATTTATCTTTATTTTGTATGCAACTGAGGTCATCCACTTTGGCATGTATTAACTTTGGTGGAAGTACAGCACAGATTTATTGGATGACATCTGAACTTTAAGATGTTCATTTACAAGCTGATATGTTCTAGTGTGATGAAGGTCCATAATATATCATTGTTATTTGGGAACTGATATTCTAAAGTGGGGAAAATGGATTTTGGATTTCAGTCCGTGAAGGTTGACTTGTTTTCATTTTAATAGGTCAGGAAGTCATTTTGATCAGTGAATTCAAAACAGCATATACAGCAACATATATGATTGTAGCTAAATAACCAGCAAGCCACCTGGGGATATAATTACTAAGGAGTTTACTGACTTGAAGTTTACAACCCAGAGAGACAGGTGCAAACAGCAGGTTTAAGCAGAGAAAAGTTCTTAACAGGGGTGTATTGAGTCACAGTTTGCAAGCAGTCAGGTCAGTGTAGAAATCCTGATAAGCTTAGAAGTCAGTGGGAAGAAAGCTGTGGTAGGATGTCAAGATGTTTGAGCGAAAGAAATTATTTTATGGGAAAATAAAGAACTGTAGATGCTGGAAATCAGAAATAAAAACAAAAATTGCTTAAATCTCAAGATTTGGCAGCATCTGTGCAGAGAAAGCCAAGTTGGTATTTCAGGTACTATTTGATTCAGGGAAACACTAGTAAGAAATGTGAACTGAGATAACAGGTTGTTTTCAGGGTCTTGCAAAGAGACACTATCTGAAGAAAATAGCGTGTAATAAATGCATGGAAATTTACTAAAAGGTAACTGATTATAGCAGTGCCAGCTTTTGTTTTAAATTCATGGGATGAGAGCCTCGCTAGCTGGGCCATTACTATTCCCACTATGATGCTGGTGAGGTACCTTCTTGAACTATTGCAGTCTGTGAGGGAGGAAGTTCGACTATTTGTCCAGTGATAATGAAGGCATGGCGACATATTCCCCCAAGTCAGGATGGTGCGTTTTTTGGAGGGGAACTAGCAGGTGGTGATGCTACCTTGTATTTACTGCCCATGTCATTCTCGATGGTAGTGGGTTTTGGGTTTTGGGTTTGGGAGGTACTGTCCAAGGAACCTTGCAGAATGTCTGTCGTGCATTTTGTAAAGGGTAGATACCGAGCCTACTGTGCATTGATGGCAGAGGGAGTGTATGTCTGTGGATATGTTGCCAATCAAGTGGGCTTCTTTGCCTTGGATAATTTCAAGTTTCTTGTTTTTTTTTAATCAGTATTTTCTCTTGTTCTTGGCTTCTTCCTATTGTAAATTAAGAGTGAAACACTATTTTGATCCTACTTCTGTCTCAGTTGGAATAACTAGATCAGTACAGGCCATGTATAGAATTTCATAATTTTGAGTTCTGGTTTGTTGGAACTGATCCATGGCTGATTGATGCAGAATGTCAAATTCCCATCTAATTATCATTTATTATTCCTCCATTGACAACTCCAATTGGAAATTCATGGAAAATTTGTGTCCACATCTCTCAAACAAATGGTCAAAATTTGATGGTCGTGTTTGCCTGTTTCTATAGATACATTGGACTACATGGCCAGTAATCCAGCTAGCGTCTGTACCTCTTTAGGGTTCTTATCAACAATGAGAGTTCATTTTAGAGATATAAGAGCATGATGTGTTTCTACTTCTGAAAACATTGGGGATTGTATCTGGAATCAAAGAGTGTATTTCTTGTGCTCCATTGTGATATTCCTCTTCAAGAAAATGTTTATGGTTGAAATGTTTACACTATATTATCAAGGGAAGAGATGTGCAAGTCTTCATAAATTAATTGTAGTTCAGATAACGTCAGATGGTTATCTTTGCCATGTTCTCATTTTAATGTTATTATGAACAGATCCAATTTCAAGCATTTTTCGTGATGCACAAAGGTAAACTATTCAAAGTACACACTGCAACCTTCAGTCTCCCCTGTTGTGTTGCAAGGATCATAAGCAGGGTAGGGTGTTCTGTACCCAGTTCAGTAGCCTTCAAAGAAGTGCATTTGTCTTGATTCACTTTTAGAAATTCGATTCAAAGGAAATCGGTCTCTTTCTGATTGCACTTAACTGATGTTCTCATAAATAAGTGTGGAGAAATTGATCTCCATATTTGGTGTTAGATTATTCTTTTGATTGGAATTAGCACTGCAACTGAAGACACCCCCTCAGCCCCAATTTGTTCTGAATATTTGGTACACAAGTGATTTTTGTTTTAAAACTAGGTTTATCCCAGTGTTTGGTAATCCAATATTGATTACTTCCTAAATTTGAGTGGTATTTCCATTTCCAAAGATTTCCATTGAATATAGAAAATATTAAGAGCACAGCTGCATTTCAGATAACCTCACTTGGCCACCTTGCTTGTTTGTCCATGCTGCAGTGATCTCACTCACTTGAAAGGCATAAAAATCTTACAACATAAGTACTTCATTCAGCTTTGGCATGCTACTTCTTCACTTGGCTGTTGAGAAGTCAACTACTCAGGTTTCAGAATACTTTCAACTCTTGATGATAAGAATCTTTATGATTAAGTTCTATTCAGGTTTATGGTACGACTATTACAAATTTCCATTGCTGTTTCCGCAATAATATTCTTGGAAAATACCTTGCAGTTTGATTCTTGAATGAGGCTTGCATTCATCTTTGAGCTTATGAGAGACTGTTGGAAGAGCTTGCTTTTGACTCTTTTTTCTGTAGCTCTTCACATCTGTGTATCCTCTTCCTCCTCTGTACCCCTCCTCCGACCCCATCCACCTTCCTTTCTTCTCTCCACACGCTAACATTCTTTGGTATTACTGCCCACTCCACAGTGAGGGGTCAAAATTCAAACCTCTGTGGATAGGTGAATGGTGTACATGCAGTTGAATGCGATAGTGCATTGGCCCACAGTACTTAAGACTGCCTTCAAGCTGTTTGTTTTAAGTTGTATTGATTTTCATATTATCTGCTGATCTCCCTATCTCTACAGATTTGCACACAGAAGCAGTCCAAGCAGCTCTGGCCAAATACAAAGAGAGAAAGATGCCGATGCCTTCAAAGAGACGCTCTGTGCTTGTGCATTCATCACTAGATGCATACACTCCTCCAGGTACACAGATCTCCTAATATTAAAGTTATTCTTGCTAGAGACCATGTGCTCATTGTACTGTTGGTTCTGGTTGTCAAATTTTAATTTGAACAGAACATCCGATTTTTTGTTGAGGGACAAGAAAGAGAACTCTGCTTGAGTTAGTAGAGTTCAAGTTGTGGTATTCTTTTGAAAGAATTGCTTCTCTTCTCTTTCGAGAAAGCCATGTGCTTGTATCTTGTGGTGAGCAGTGAAGGCTGTTCCCTGGCAATTCTTCTGAAACTAATGATTGTACAAGCTATTCACTGTTTAAGGGGATGGGAGTTTCAGTAGACGATTAGAATGATCAATTAAATAAGGCTATTCAGTCTGAATTGAAGGTATGTCCGAGGAGGTCTTGTGGCACAGCAGTAGTGTCCCTATCCTGGAGGTATGTCATAACTTGTTCAAATAGGTTGATTTAAAAACTTTTCATTTGAAGACTCGATGCTCGTGTTTTATTTAATTCTTCAGCATTTTACATAGGATATTTGCATACAGAGTTTCATTATTTCAGTAAGACAGCGAAAGGCTTCTACTAATGTGAATATCTAAAGATCTGCAGAAGAAGATAAATATTTTACACGACTTGACTAAATTAAATAATATATTCCGTTTGAGTGCAGAAAATTCAATACCTGTGTTTTCTTTCACATTTCACTTTTCTTCCTTCCCCAAACGGTGCAGGTCTTCAAACTAGAGTACAGATTGGTCTGCCACCAGTAATACATGTGAACTGGCTACTTAACGCTATATCTGATTGCCTGTCCCTCCGTTTTCCCTCTTACTCATATGTGCAATGTGTCTACATTCACTGCAATACTTAGGAAATTCACTGATTGTACTTGTATTCTGTGTCTATGAAAGAGCAGAGTTACTTTGATGGAGAAACCACGTACACAGATCATTAACTGATGTCCACTCTGTATCTCAACTGCATTTAACCACCTTTTGTTTCTTATCCATTAATATCCTCATCTAGTGAAAAGTGATCATTCTCACTCTTAAATTCTAATTGACCCCAACACAACAGTGTTTAATGGGTGTGATTTTTGAATTTGCACCGTCCTTTGTTTGAAAAAATGCTTCCTGATTTCATTCCTATTCCACGTTCGAAATAATTGCACTTGTCCAGGATTTTCTAACCACAAGAAACTATTTCTCTCTGCCTATCCAATCGAATCCTTGAGTTATTTTAAACACTTTAATTAGATCATCTCTCATTCCCCTAAATTTAAGGAAATGCAATGCAAGTTTAAGCAACTTATTGCCATAATTTAATCCTTGAAAACCTGGTATTTTTCTGCTGAACCTGAACATTTTACCCTCCCTAGGACAATGAATATTTGCTGAGGTGCGATGGTTAACGCTGAGTATACGAGGCCTGACCAAGATTTTACAATCAAAGCCTCATGACTTGGTTCTCATATTCCATCTCCTTTTTTGATTAAGTGACAGCACTGAACGCTTTTTAAAAATTTTTGATTTGTAATGTGTACATAAATACCCTTCAATCCCTCTACGCCTCCGCAGCTCAAAGTCTTTGCCATTAAAATATTCCTTTTTTGTCTTGTTTGAATCTAAAATGAATTAGCATCTATAGTGTTTAAATTAAACCCCCTCAGTCAAGCATAGCAGATTCGAGAACCCTTGCTTTGTGCTTTAGCCCACAATCGGAGGAAAGCCATTTATCACAATTGTGGTCTGTTTCCACACCAGCCCGTTTATAAGATAAAATGTTTTCCTGCAGTTCGCAACAGTGCAAAGGAATTTTTTTTAAAAATGACTAAATCCAGGTGATTATTTATCCTAGTATTTCAAAGAGTATTTGTCATATTATGAAGGATTGGAGGCGTGTGTTGGTTAGTCCAGGTAAGGATGGAAGGCCTGCACGATTTTAGTGGATCATCTGGATTTTTAATGACTGTCCTGCTGCTTTCATTGTCATTTTCTTTTACTCAAATCCACAAATTGTTTTTGTTCAATTAGTTGAGTGAACATAGTTTGTGTACGGGAACAAAAGAGATTTCATGTGCTGAGGTAGTAGGAACTGCTGACCAAAAGTGTTATGCTTGTCTTTTGTGTTAAGACACATAAAATATGAATTATATTACGACTTTCAAACTTAGCAGTATTTGTGCTGCAATGGTGAAATGTATTTACTAGATACGAGATTGAAATAGCATGGCAGTGTGATAGTGAGAAAAAATTATGATCCTACAATATTTCTCTTTGAAGTCTAAGACTAATTCTAATGGTTTGCATTTCTTGAAAAATATCTCCTACTTGGTGAATAAAACAAAGAACTCTGCAGATGCTGAAGACCTGAAACAAAAACACAAATTGCTGGAGAAATACAGCCAGTCTGGCAGAACCATTCTGAAGAAGGAACGCTGGTCTCAAAATGTGAACACTTTGTCTCTCCAAAAATGTTGCCAGATTTGCTTTGTTTCTTCAGCAATTCAGTTCTTGGTAGATTTAGTTTGTTTTGTAAAATGTAGGATTTTACATAATTCGTGTAATTTTTGAGGTATTGAACTCAGTATGGTTATTCTATCTATGATGAATATGTGCAGGAATATTTTCAGTCACTTGGTCAGTCAGGCAACCACTTGAAATGTTTCGAATATGTATGTCACTTATGTTACCAGAATATAAAATATGTTATAGATCAACATCCCGGTGTTGCCATTGGCCAGAAACTGAGCTGGGGATTGTCCATTTAAATACAGTATCTATAAGAGCAGGTCAAATGCTAGGAACCCTGCAGTGAGTAATTCACCACCTGACTCATCAGAACCTGTCCACCATCAACAAGGCAAATGTTAAGAGTTTAATGGATGAGTGCACTTCTCTGAATGAGTGCAGCTCCAGCAACACTCCAGAAATGTAACATTGTCCAGACAAAGCAGCCCACTTTATTTGCACCACATCCACTCCTTCCCCCACCACCCCCCTCCAAAAAAAAACAAGGGATGTTCAGTCGCAGCAGTGTGTACCATCGACAAGATGCACATAGAAACTCACTAAGGCTGTTTAGGCAGCACCGTTCCAAAGTCACAGCTTTGTCCATCTAGATGGACAAGAACAGCATGAATGAATAAGGAAAAGATGAAGGCACAGTCAGATGTGGAGTCCAGACCCATGATGAACCATTATTAATGGTAGTCAGTATTGGATATGGATTGCTGTTGAAGTAACTAACAATTTTTGGGACTATCCAGAAGTCTGGGAATACCAGGAACTCTGAGAAAGATAAACCTGTTTCCTTCCTGCTGTGCAACCTCATCATCTAATTTTCAGCTAATATCCAGTCGTGAAACAAACATGCAGGACAACATTATATGACTTAACGGATAATGTCCAGAACTAGAATGGTAAGTACATGAACATAAAAATGAAGTTTAAAACCTCATGTGTACCAGACATTTGTATGTTTCAGGATATATTATAAATGACAAGCATCAATTAGTGTATATTCTCGAAGCTCTGATCCTATCTTTTTAGAAATGTATTGATACACACGATTTTACAAAATGTGAGAGGTGATGCTGTTCCTTTTAACAGCAACACCACCAGGTAGTGCAACAATATTACTATTTCAGGAAATACAAAAAAAAGTAATTGCAGCTTGATTGAAAGGTCAAGGACTTGAGTCTTGCAGATATAGTAGGGGAAAATATGTAACGCTTGTGCCTGGCAGTACTTCCGTTGTAATTTTTGAAGATTTGTGTCATGATAAGTTAATAATTGATTAATGGCAGGAGTGCACAAATTGTTTTGTTTCGATGAGAACCTGCTACTGTTAGATCTTGGGATCAAGTTTATATAAAAACATATTAGTTTTCATATTTTAGTTATTAGTCAAGTATTATACAGGCAACTAAAGAGTTTAACAAATATCTGTAAAGAAACTATGGGTAGCAAACTTGGAATACAACAACAAATAAGAGAAATGGTCAGATATACAAGCATACAAACTGGGAGCAGAAGTAAACCATTCAGCGCCTCAAGCTGCTTCACTATTCAAGATGATTATCGCTGATCTATTTGTGTTTCAAATTCCACGTTCCTATCTATCATCAATAACCTTTGTTTACCTAATCCAGTGAAAACTCAGCTGCCTTGCCTTCAGAATGTTCCATGACTCCACCTCTGTTGCCTTCTGAAACAGCTCTGAGAGAGAAAACATCCTGCCCATCTCTTGTTCGCAACTGACTCAAAAGAAGAAACATCTCATCCCTGTCTGCCTTGTAAAGACCACTGAGGTTCTTTCACAATTAAGTCAACTCTGCCCTCTTGCAAACTCCATTGAAAACAAATCCAGCCTGTCCGAACTATCCTTCTAAGATAACCCATTAATTCCATTCATCAATCCAGTGAACCTCATGTGAAGTGCCTCCAGTGAATTTGTGTTCTTCCTTAAATTAGGAGGCCAAAACTGTTCACATTATTCCAGGTGAAACAGCAATTTACCTGCACTTCACTCAATGTAGTCGACTTGCAATCGCTGCTCACAATGTGGTCTCCTCCACTTTGGGGAGACGAAACGCAGACTCGGCAACCACTTTGCAGAAGACCTACGTTCTGTCTCCAAAAATGACCCAGAACTTTCTGTTGCCTGCTACTTCATCACATGGCTGTGTTCCCTCGCCAACGTATCTGTTTCAAGCTTGCTGCAGTGCTTCAGCGAAGGTGGAAGAACAACATCATCTTTACTTTCTGCTCGGGGACCCTGCAGCCTTCCAGACTCCATATCGAGTTCAATAATTTTAGCACCTGAGCACCTTCCTCCATGTCCTTTCCCCAACCCCCACACACCAGGCCTTGTTGTCAAATGGTCTGCTCCCACAAACAACCCAATGTCAGCTACTAATGAGCTCCATGAGCAGCTGTTGGTTCTCCCAGGCTGACCAGCCCCCTCTTCTTCAACCATCCCCTCCCTCACTGTCGGCACTCGATACCCCTCCCCTCATATATTATATAATAACCTTTCTTGAGCTGTAGTCAGTTCTGAAGAAGGATCACTGGACCTGAAATGTTAACTCTGCTTTTTCTCTACAGATGCTACCAGACTGGTTGAGTTTGTCCAGCAATTTGTGTTTTTGCACAGCATTCTGGATGTGGTCTCGAGTGAAAGCATAACATCCTTCCCTTTATGTTCAGTTCTTCCCATGATCAAGGACAGCACTCATTGTCTTCTAGATTAATGTGCTATACCTTCACACAAAGATTTTGTGAATTGTGCAACAGAAGACCTAAATCTCTCTGCATGTCTGAATTCCATTCTGAATAATTGTTCACTTAGGCAGTGCTCTGCTTTTTTTCATTCTTCCTACCAAATGAACAATATCATGTTTTTCTGCAGTGTATTCCAACTGACCAGATTTTTGCCCACATGGTCAACTTAGCAATATCTGTTTGCGACTTCCTAATGTGTTCTTCACAACATCCTTTCCAAGTTATCTTGTCTGCAAAATTGGCTGCTGTACCTTGGTTCCCATTATCTAAGTCATTTGATGTAAATTTGTCAAACATTGAAGCCCCAACACAGTCCCCAACAAGATACCACTTGCCACGTCCTGCCAGTCAGACTAAGACCCACTTATACGCAGTCTGTTTTCTGCCATCAAGCCAAGCTTCTATCCATGCTAATGTTACCCCTTCTGCTAATAGCTTTTATTGTCTGCAATAAACTTTGTTATCAAATGCATCCTGGAAACCCAAGTACAGTACACCCACCTGCTCCCCTTTATTTATGGTATATGTTCCTCCTTCAAAGAACCCCAATAAATTGGTTAAACATAATTTGTCTCTGAAACAATGCTGCCTCTTCCTGATTTACCTTGGGATTTTCTCAGTGTGATGCTATCATGTCTTTAATAATCGACTCTAAAACCTTTTGAGAGGCATCTAACTGGCCTGTGGTTGAATGTTTCCTGCTTTCTTCCATTCTTGAAAAGACCGAAAGATATTCTTAGAGATCTACAGAAGATACAGATCTCTGTCTAGTTTCTGAATATGGTTAAGGATTTATGTAAAACCATCAATAATTCTCATTGCTTCCAAGCACAAGCACAAACCCAGTGGAGAACACAAGTTACCGAAGCAGTGGGAAATGAACTTCTTGTGAGATACTGTACAATCCACACAGCCTTAAAATGTTACTCTGATTAATTTTTGTGTCTACATTTACTGTTGTTTTCTGTTGCATGTGTAATATGAAGGATGCATAATGGGAATCTAAGGGCTAAAATTATCTTCTAGTTAGAAGTTAGCCAGCACGGTTACTGTGGGATGCACATTGTGTCCTGCATATCCACTCTGCAGCATGTATGAATGCCTCACAGGGAGGCAATGTAACTGAGTTTACAAGAGTAGAGACTACACTGTCCTAACATTAGTGTTATATTGAATGCAGACACATCTTCAGCCTCGGAAGATGAGGGCTCACTCCGTCGCCAGGGCCGGATCACGTCCACTCCAAACCAGGGCCATTTGAACGTAGAGCACTGGCTTAACAAGGTTATCCAGAGCTCCTCCACCTCATCCTCTGCATCGTCCACCTCATCACATGTAGGAGGGAAACCTACTGCTTCACTAGCTGACCTCATGGCGCATACCCATTTAGGTCAGTAAATGTTTATTCTATTTTACTTCCTGTACAGCATTACGAGATGCAGATATCAATATACGTTAACTGCCTAAATTATAATGTTAGCGGCAACCGAATAGTGCAGAGTTCGGTTGGGAAGATTTGATTAGAGACAGGTCAAGATTCTTGACCTACTGTTACATGCCTTAAATTAAAATTGCCCAGTACTCTCAGTAACTGGTTCAATAAAGGGGTAGTGTATTATAAAAGAAACAAAGCATTTGTATCACAAAACACTTTCAATGATTTCATGATGTCCTGTGGCACCTTGCAGCAAATTAATTATCGCTAAGATTATACAAATTTGTCATTTGCGCACAGCAAGATTTCTTAAATAACAATGATGTTAATGACTAGCCAATCGATTTCTGGAGGTGGGATTTGAGAGATGTTCGGGGCAAAGACACTATTCTGTAGCTTGTGGCAGAGAATCATTTACATTTTTGAGAGGGGCAAACAGGTGCTCAAGCTAAAGTGCCATCTGGAGGATGGTATGTTTTTTTTTGTCATGCAGCTCAGTGCTTCATCCCATGTTAATGGCACTATTATTCCTGTTGGATACATGTTTTATATTTCCCTTTTTTATATTTGCAGTTTGTGCATTTGGCTCTGTGCTGCATCAGTATATCATGCACTATTGTAACTTAAATTGGAACTGCCATTCAAGGGCAGTATTTCACATTGCTTTATGACATTGTTATTAAGTGAGTTGTTTGGTGGAAAAATAAGTTCTGTTTGCAAAATAGATTGTTCAATATTTTCATACCCAAAGAGGATTTGTTGAGAACAACTTGATCGTAAAGAGATCCTGGCTCCTTATTTCAAGAGTCGTAATAGCCTGTTAACGAATACTGTTGTAATATTTAATTCCCAGGTTGAAACAATGGCCTTAAGGCAATTTAGGACTTGAGGTCAAGTTGGCTGATGGCTGGTTTGCAATCCAGAGTGACGCTACAGCTTGGGTTCAATTCCCATACAGGCTGAGGTCAGCATAAAGATCCCAACTTCCCAACCTTCCCTTTGCTTGAGGCATGGTGACCCTCAGGTTAAACTCACCACCAGTCATCCCTCTCTCATAAGCAAGCGGCCCTCTGGTCCTTTAGCACTATGGCGACTCTACTTCAGGCTACGAGTCCTCAGTTTTTTTGCCGGAGTTGCAGAAAATTGAGAGAATTTAGCTTGTGCTCCCCCTTGCTTTTTATGTACTTCTTATCTCTCTAAATCACCAGTTTCTTTTGTGTTGTCAGTGTTCAGAATTTTAAGATATTCCCTACTATTTTATTTGCTTCAGTTGAGCTGGAACACGTCTAATATTTTGCACCTCACTACCCGAGAATGCGAATGGATTATTAGAATGTAACAGCTTTATTCAGTATTTCAGTTGCTTTTGTGCATATATATGTACTCAATGAATGCACAGACTCTAAAGCCAGATCTCTCAATTGGCCTTATTACAGTCATTTGGAGGATACAGTGCTGTCTGTCACTTAGCATTGTAAATGCCTTGTATCCTGGCAGCAGTAATAATGTCAAGAAAGGCAGCTAGTTGCATGTCTTTTCAGTCCCAATCTGTGGTTAGTTCATACAACAGCAGTATCAGTGAATACAACACCAATTTATCTGCAGCAACAGTCCCATACCTTAATTTTTTTCTGTTGATGCCCATCATAGCATTCTCTCGGGCCACCACAAAACTAATGCTTCAGACCGGCTCTAGGAAACAAACCAGGCATTGTTCCATAGAAACTCAGTCAGTCATCCTTGAACATGCCCTTTAATGACTGTGTACTCTGTGTGCCTTTGCCTGGCTAAGTACTCCTGCATGGTGTCCTACCAATAGTCACAGCTTGGCTTACAGTGAATAGCTGCCATTCATTGGAGGAGACTGCAGATGGCTTTGTAGGCTGACTTTGAGGTCTAACTCTGACTCTAGAAAGTCTAGAAACTGTTGAATCTCAGCCTGGGTAACAGCAGGCTGGACTATGGATGATGAGTAGCAGAAAGGCAGTGGTGGAAATGTAACAGGCAATGTCAAGAAAACAAATGCAGTCATCCTGAGTGTGGAAGGCAGGTTCATGCTATGTGGGATCACTGCCTCTGTCCATAGGGCAGCAATCCTCGTAACCTGTTTGGGTCATGTTTCTGAACTTCTGGAAGACTCTTGAACCTCTTCAGAGTACTTTTTTCGTTCTTTCGTTCTTTCGTTCTTCCTGCCTTCCTTCCTGCCTTCACGGAATGAGGGTGTTGCTTGCTGGGCAGCATATATTACCCATCCCTAATTGCCCAGAGGGCAGTTCAGAGTCAACTACATTGCTGTGGGTCTGGAGTCACATGTAGGCCAGACCAGGTAAGGATGACAGTTTCCTTACCTCAAGGACATTAGTGAACCTGATGGATTTTTCCCTGACAATCGGCAATGGATTCACGGTCATCATTAGCTTGTTAATTCCAGATATTTATTGAATTCAAATTCCACCATCTTCCATGGCGGGATTTGAACCCAGGTCCCCAGAGCGTTATCTGGGTCTCTGGATGAACAGTCCAGTGATTAAAGCGCTAGGCCATCGCCTCCCCCCAAAATGGAAGCAATTTCATTCTGCAGGGCAACACGCTGAACTTGCATTACCAGTTTGAGTTTTTTCCTGCAGCACTCCACATTGGGAGACTTCTTGCTGCAATGGCAGCAGAATTATCAGCCAGCCCTGGGACTGCAAGCGTTCTCATGAAGTTGACCATCATATCCATTCTGGACTCAAAAGTTCCTGATGAAACCTTTTGTAAGGGTCATTTGGATTTCTGCATGTTTGTTGGTGGTGATGCAAATCTTCTGACAGGCCTGCTAATGCCCAAGTATTTCTATGTGCATATCCATCAGCCTTTTCCTTGATGCTGCCCTTTCAAAATCTTAAGAACTGTTGTGCAGCTTCACCCCTCTGAGTTGGCATTTTTGCTGCCTTTTCTCCCAGCTGGCTGCTTATCACTGTTGCTTCATGGCTCACCACATGCAGATCCTGTCTCTAACAGCTACAGTCTCTGCCAGTGTGAGGTTGAGTGACATTTCATCAATTGTCTTTTGCTATTCCATTTCATGCTTTTGCAGTACTGCATGGCCATGTGACAGTTCCTGGCTGTCTGATTGAAAAGTGGAATAGTAGAATTACATTAAGGGCAGAGAATGAAGATAAGGAGTTCATACTGAAACCATGTGCAGCTTGGGAATTAGAAGAGACTGTGTAAAGAGGGAATGAGATGTGAAAAACAGAATTAGATCTGAACTTGGACAACAAGGTGCAGGGCTGGATGAACACAGCAGGCCAAGCAGCATC